AGGAGGGAACGGCCTAAAGTTGCACCAGGGGAGGTTTAGGATGGAGATTAGGAAAAATTTCTTCAGTGAAAGGGTTGTCCAGCACTGGGACAGGCTGTGGTGCAGTCGCCATCCCTGGAGGTATTTAAAAGATGGGCAGACGCGGAGCTGAGGGACACGGTTTAGTGGTGAGTTGGGCAGTGTTGGGTTGATGGTTGGACTTGATGATCTTAAAAGTCTCTTCCAACCAAAACCCTGCAGGAGTGAAGCCGCTGGCCAATGAAGACGGGAGAACATCTCGTGGGTGACGAGTGGCACAGTGCATCCCAGCTGCGCTGCCCCAGCCGAAGGCAGAAACGGGCAGCAGCAAACGCCCCCGGAGCAACAGGTAAGTACGGGGGAGGGGGACGGATCCAGGGGTCTGCTCCCTCCGGCAGGTTGTGGCTGTTGGGAGTGCTTTGTTGCAGCCTCCGGAGGGACGGGGTGCACCCCAGGGGTGCTCTGCCTTGTGCAACACGAGCTCAGGGAATAAAGCACATCTGACCAGAGACATTTTACAGTAAAGATCACTAAAAAATACCCGTTGCTGGGCTCAGTGGAGGATAAGCTGGTGGCTTCTGGCCTGGCTGACCCATCTGGGGCTCGTACTAATCCACATCTGTTTTATCCTTGAAACGGGTTGCTAGGGAGGAGCAGGTTAATGTCAGTCACGCAGTGGGCTTGCTCGTGGTGAGAGCGGGGCTGCCATCCTGCCCTCTGGTTTGGGGTCAGTGTTTTAAAAGACAGCAAGAACGTCTGGAGAGGAGGGAGGGAGAACAGACATATTATTGAAGCACTGGAGAAAATACTCCATCTATAAAGGGTGCAAAACATATTAATTTTTAAAGAGCTGTAGAGGCATCTTCATTGCAGGGTGGAAGTCTCAGGAGAAATCATCTGATGCTAAGGAACATTGTAATGCCCTTGAGAAGGATGAATTTGAATGAATGGAAAACGAAGCCAGACATATTCTGATTAGAAATAAAAGCCTTATTTTGAATAATGAGAATAATTAACTGCTGTGAGAAGTTCATGAGAGCAGCAGTAGGTTTTCCAACAGTGACTATACCCATATATATATGCCCATGTGCAGGATGGAAGGTGTTGGGTACAAAGTTGTTTTCTCCGTGAAATCTTCACATTCCAGAGTGGCGTAGGACCGAGAAGCAGTCTGCACGCCTGTTTTGGCCTCCAGCTCTACATATGTGCATGCCTGCCATGTGATAACTTCCAGTATTCCTGAGATGCCCATTCTCTTTGGAAGGGTTCTTCTAAGCAAGGACAGATGCTGCTGGCGCTTTGAGGCCATCTTCTCTAGTGCTTGGTGATGAGACTGGTTGGCAGGCGCAGTGCCTGTCCTACTTCTTCCCGGTCACCCTGCCCCATCTGTGTTCCCCTTCCCATCACTCGTGGGGATGCCACTGGTGAGGAGGGGAAATGTAGTTGAGACCAGGCCCTGCTCCCTCCTCCCAGGACCCTGACCTCCACCATCTCATGGTCACTGCAGCCAAGGCCCCTCCAACGCTCACATCCCTGACCAGTTCATCCATGTTTCCAGGCACCAGGTCCAGCAGAGCCCCTTTAATTGTTGACTCCTTCATCACCCGTGCCAGGTGTCATCAGCGCATTGAGAAATCTCTGAGGTTGCTTGAACCCTGCTGTATTGTCCTTCCAGCAAATATCAGTGCCAGCTGCGAGCAGAGAGCAATCCTGAAAATACCCCAGGAGGTGACAATCCGCTGACGTGTGTGTGCCCCGGGTGCCAGGAGGCATCGCCTGGTGCAGCACATGAGCCATTTGGAAACAACTTATTGCTTCCTCAGTGAGAATTTGGTCCCTGAAGAAGATGGGCAGGAGGAGATGCCAGCTTTCCTGTAGCGATACCAGGGACCGCCCTGCCCTTCTCCTTCCCTGAGTGCCACCAGCATTTGCACCAACAGCAGCTCTGCTGACTGGCTGTGGTGTTACCAGCAGCACCGCTCGCCTGATGGGACAGAGCTCCCCGTTTCTCAGCCAGGACTCTGGGGTGGCAGCTGGGGGGCTGAGGCAGGAGGTGTCCACAGGCTGCTCCCTCGGGTCACTGCATCCCTCCAGCTGATGGTGAAGTTGTGCACATCCCCACAACATGGATGATGCTGTTGCTGCTGCGGAGGTCCTGGCAGGCAGCACTGGCTGCACTCTCCACTGAGGATGTGCAACGGCAAGAGATGACACAGAGGGTGCCACATTTCTTCTAGCAAACCCAGAACTCAGAAATGGTGGCGGTGGTCTCTAACCCAAAGGCCTTGCAGGTTTGGTCATGGACTGAGCGGGGTTTGCAGCTCCTTGTGGTGGAAGCACCAGTCAATGCTGTGGGTGATGCTCTGTCTGTGGGCTCTGGGTGATACCAGAAACTCTGCAAGTGTTGCAGGCACCGGCTCTGGGGCTGCCAAATTGCCCCCACAGTATGAACAATACCAGAGGAGCAACAACGGCATCTCAACATGCTGTAAATGCTGCATGTGGTTCCTGGGAGAGTCTCCAATCCTCACAAGCTCTGGAAAATCAAATCCCAGGAAGAACTGGAGCTAGTCATGTTAATCACCCTCCTTAGTGGTGAGGGAAGTGTTAGAGGGGTTGGGAAATTCCATCCTTCTGATTTCCATCCCAGATTTATCTGTCTCCTGACTCATTAACAGAAGGCACTACATATGCACACATTAATGGAGGCATCAGAAATAAATCTGGGCTGCACATCAGAAGGAATTTCCCAACTATTAGACAACCAGGTTGCTGCAGGTACTGCGGCAGGGATGAGCTGAGCAAACCCTTCTTGAGATGGAGCTGTGCTGCAAACAGGAGGATACGCGTGCCGGCGAGGCGGGATGGGTTTACATGCCGAGGTTTACATGGGAGTCCTGTCACCCTGTGTTCCTGACGGGAGGCGAGCGCCGCGCAGCCCTGAATAGCAAGCGCTGCTCAGAGCTGGGTCCCTTCTGCGGGTCCTCCACGCCTTCACATTTGGGCGCAGCACACACCGTGACGGAACTCTGCTTGTTGCTGTACGCCTGTGGGATCTCACGGCAGAGCTGACTCCAGGGTATCAGTTTTCCCCAGATCCCACCGGTGTCCACAGCGGAGCAGGAGGACCATTCCTGTTTCTCGTGCCCCTGCTCTGAGACTCAACCAGCAGAGAAACTGGTGATCAAACCCACCATCGCTATATTTAGCACTATTTTTCCATCTCTTCTTAGTGAACTGGAGCCAGAGCCGCAGCCAGCGCTGATGAGAGGGCTGTGGGGTCACCAGGCGGAGGGACGGGTGCCCTGTGCTACCGCTGCTGCGCCCGGCGGGGAGAGGGGCTGACAGAATGGTCGGGGTTGGAAGGGACCTCTGGGTTGTCGGTGGCAGCGATGGAGGGACGAATCCTGGGGGGGAAGAGAGCAATCTGGCATCAGCGCGCTGGCACGGGTGTGCCTGCCAGTGTGTTTTGTCCAAACAAATAATTGCAGAGGAGCTCGTCGTTATTGCAAACAAGAGAGCCGGGGCTTTGGAAGTGCTCTTCTCTTGGCAAGCTGTCCGGAAACAGACACCATACCACGTCCTTCGGGGAGCTGCCACGCGACATGATGAGCAGGTATGAAATAAGCGCTCTGCAAATAGGTCAGAAGATTTTTGATTAAAAGAAAACCTTTGAAATTTAGAAAATGGGTATCAACATGAAATAACCTCAAAGCTATGAAAAAAGGCTAAATAAATGAAACTGTTGTTCTGGTATGCACCTGGATTTTTATATTGGCTCCCTGAAAGTTAGTCTTTGAATTTTGCAGAGGAAGAAGTTAAGCACCAACCTGGGGACCCTGAGAACCTTTTCCCAAGCATCACACAAACAAGAAATAAAACGCGGTGTGCTAAGACAAATTTACCTCCTTTTGGCTTTGTTTTGAAACAAGCATCAGCTTTCCCAGCTGGGTGAAGGAGACATTTGCTCTGCTAATGGCGCCGCAGCGTGTTTACTTTGTGAACGTGGAATTACATGTGGATGGTGCAAAGTGTATTGAAATTTCACAGCCCGTGTAGCCTTCACCTGGGAACATCCGCACCGGGGCAACCTCGGGGATACAGATAAGCTCCCGGTGCGCTCTGCGGTGGTGGTGTTTCCCGTTTGAAAAGGGGAGAGTGCTCCTGGGCTGGGGAAGGGGAAGGTGGGAATTTCCATCTCAGACAGCTGAGATCGGGGTTCAGGGGGGCGGCAGGCGCAGAGCCTGCAGGAGGAGAGGGTGACCCCGGGTGTGGGGGCGCGGGACTGGCGGCAAAACCGCAGAAGGAGCCAGCGGCTGACGGGGATGGGATGCGAAGGTCCAGGGTGCTTTGCGTCCCTGAAGCGAACCTGGCAGGAGAGGGTTGTTCCCTGAGACAGGGGAGCAAGGTCCGGAGCGGAGAGGGTGGGTGCCTGGGGGCTTTGCGATGGGGTTGGTGATGCAAGCCTGCAAGCGGTGGTCCCCTGGAGTGGAAATGGTCCTGGAGTCCCCTGAGGCTGGATTTTCCCGTGTCGTGGTCCTCCCTGTGCCCCAGGGACTAGGTTGGCTGGGGACTGTGGGGGCGAGGAAGCCTGAGCTCAGCTCCATGGGAGATGGTCCCTCTCCAGGCCATTGCTCCTCATTCTGACATCAGGGGTGATGTCATAGCACAGGGACGGCTGCATGGCAATTCTACGTGGGCAGGAGGCCACAGCAAGACAAGGAACATGAAGGGACTGCTTGGATGGTGAGCAAGCAGAGCAGCTGTGCAACATCTGGCTGGTATGTGGGTTCGGTCTGCGCTGTGGGGAGAGGCGGTGCTTGTCCCTGTGTCACTGGTCCCTCCCGGCAACTGTCACCACAGCAGGGGCAACAGCCACCCCCCGTTTCAGCTGGCAACCATTGCCCCCTGTTGCTTCCCACCTTCTGCCAGCACCTCTGCTTTTCAACAGACCAAAGCGCAGTCCTGGTCTCAGAGCCATCATGTCTGAAAGCAAAGGGGCAGAGGAGACGAATCAGCCTGTTGTCACCGTGGATTCCTCAAACATCATCAAAGTGACTGTGAAGACTCTCAAGCAGAAGGAGCAGTTTGAGGTGGCTCAGAGCAGCACCATCCAGGAGTTTAAAATAGAAGTTGCCAAGCGTTTCAAAACACTCCCTGGTCTGCTGGTCCTGATATTTGCTGGGAAAGTCCTCAAGGATCAAGACACTTTGAGCCAGCATGGAGTTCACAGTGGGGTCAGCATTCATGTGGTCATCAGGCCCCAAAAGAGACCACAGGACAGCCCGGCAGATCAAGGAGGAAGGACCACTCTGTTGCAACCTCCCAGCCACAGTAATTCCAACTTAGTCTACTTGGGAAGCATAGCTGATCTGCAAGACCCATGCTTGAACCATCATAACTTGCCTCGGCTGTTGATCTCCAGCCAGGAAATAGTGGCCGAGACCATGGAGGACCTCTTGTTAAAGATCCTTACTTCAGGCCTGGATCTGAACACCATCAACAACAATGCATTTTTGCTAGGGTTCCTCCTTGGGGTGACAGGTGTTTATCTCCTAGGCCTAGACTCAACAGACGTGATGGACCTGATGAGTAGCATTCAAGAACAGGATGTGCACAGCTTGATAAGTGAGATGGTGCAGAGCAACCTTGACAGTGTCGATCTTGTCAGGGATCTCATCATGTCCAACCCTCGGATGCAGCAGCTGGCTGAAGAAAATCCCGAGATCGGTCAGATTCTCACCAACCCCTGTACTATCAGAGAAATATTAGAGGCCTCCAACAGTCCTGCCGTAATGCAAGAGATGATAAGGAACCGTGATGTGGCCATGAACAACCTCGAAAGCATCCCTGGTGGGTACAGTGCTCTGGAGCAGTTGTACAGGGAATTTGAGGAGCCAATCTTGGATGCTGTACAGGCACAGCTGGGCAACAACCCGTTTGATTCCTTGGACAGTAACCCACCCCTGAGTGGAGCCAGGCTACCAGCCCACACTGAAAACCGGAGGCCATTACCCAACCCTTGGGCTCCGCGATCCAACAGAGTCCGCGATAATGCAGATGATGATGATGATGAGCTTGCCAGCAGCAGTGTAGGCGACAGTTTTGCCTCGCCGAGTTTGGCTCCTGCAGCAGATGCAGTGGTACCCAACTCGGGGGAGGTTCAGAGCATGGTTCGGCAGCTAACAGGAAACCCAGAACTCATGCACAACCTGGAGTGTGCGTTAACAAACCCCGACAGCCCAGCACGAATGCTGCTGAATAGCGCTCGTCTATCAAGCGATAGGAATTCTCTGCCTGAAGATCAATGGGCACAGCAGCTGCCACTGGAGATGGAGGACACTGAGATTTCGTCCTTGCTGAGAAACCCCAGAGCATTGCGGGCGTTGCTGCAGATCCAGCTGGGATTACAGACCCTCTCAGTAGAAGTACCAGATTTCATACATAGTTTGGAGGACTCACCTGTGGATCTGGAAAGCATGGATGACTCGGCACAAAGCAGTGAGTCTGAGGAGGAGGCAATTTTGGTGTCAGACGAGGAGGAAGAAGAAAATCAGATGGCGATGGTTGACAAGGTGCCACAGACCAGATTTAAGAGACAAATGGAGCAGCTCAGTGCCATGGGCTTCCAGGACCAAAGTGCAAACTTGCAGGCACTGATTGATGCAGAAGGAGACATCAGTGCAGCAGCGGAGATACTGGCAAAAGGACCATCATCAAATGAGATACCGTAACTGGTTTGTCCGAATGAACCACTTACAGCACCTCATTTGTTGGTGGTTGTATTGCAGCCTCATCACACACTAAAAGCAGCAGGGTGCATACTACAAAGTTGTGTACTGTAGCGTTCTTCCATCTATGAGAATAAATTTCCTTTCGGCTGCAAGGATTTCTCGCACTCAAAAGCAGTAGACACGAGGACCTTTCTGTGTTGTGGAACTGTGAGGGCAGAGCCCACCCGAACGTGGTGCTACGCCTTTATAGACAGAGCCCGTGACCCAGGCATGCATGCAGGGGGAAAACAGGCCCAGAAAAGACACCAGAGAGGGAAAATATGCTTTTTTTGCAGGTTAGGAGGTGAGCTCCAGAGATGCCAAAGACCAGATGATAAATGAGCTTGGCTCCCATTTTGAGTCCAAAACAAACAGTGGCACTTTGACAGCTGTTTTGGTTTTGTTTTTTTTTTTTAAATCTGGGCCCACAGCAGGAGGCAGGGGGTATCTGAGCCATCTAATTCCTGCCACTGTGGGCATCAGCCTTTCCTCAACTGAGTGAACGCTTTTTTTGAGAATCAATTTGTCATTTCTGCCACTGCTTCTCCTACGGTAGTATAGCCCATGGGGGTTATGGTACCTGTCAGTGGTGGCTGTAAGTCCGATTTTCATGACCAATATGTTCACAATTGGTTTCTACTCATCTGCCTTTGCACGGAGGTTTTTAGTTTCCTGCGCCAGTTCAGAGCTTCTCCCATTAGCAAATCCCAAACCCTTTGCGCTTTGCTCAATGTCACACGCAGGGATTAAGGCATCTTCTCCAAGACCTTCCTCAGGACCAGAGCTGAGCATCTTCGCGAGCCCGGTCCCCTTTGCTTTGCTGCGTGTGGGTCTGAGGCTGTGAACGGGGATGTGCCATGTGCAGCCACAGTGCTTTTCACAGCCTTGTCTCTGTAATGCAAACTGCGATAACTGCTCGGGAGCTTCAGGTGTTCAAGGTTTGCTGCTGCAAACCTGCCCATAATGCCTCGAGACCACATCCTGGCCAGCCCTGCTGCCGTCGTGGGGGAGATGGGGCAGCTGGGGCTGGGGGGTGGATGGGGATGGAGGAGATGGAGATGGGGGAGATGGGGCAGCTGGGGCTGGCTGTGCTCCTCTGGACCCGCTGCCCTCCCCCCAGCCCTGCCTGCTGCCAACAAGGTCAGGATCAGCCCACACCCCTTTCCTTTGGCCCCTCTGTCCAGTTCTCCACCAGTCCCACCACATCCCTCCCTTCCTGCTCCTCACCCGTCCCCTCTGCCCTGCTGCCCGAGATGAGTCTCCTTCCTGCTCTGGGTTTCCCACTCATTTCTTCTGCAGTTTCTCTCCCTGCATCCTTCCCTTATAATACGTCCAGGGAGAGGTTTTCTACCTGTTTCTTTCAGCTCCTCCTCCAGTTGCTCCATTTATGGTTCTTCAGCCATTCTTCTTATGCCAAATTCAGACTTTTTGTGTCCTGTCTCTCCTTGCTATTTTGTGTCTTGTTCCTTCTTTCTCCCCACTCCCTCTTTTCTCACCTTTCTGGGTGTGATTGGAGGATTGATCCTGGGGAGATGGGCTCGGTGCTCAATAGACCATGGCTGGAAAATGCCCCTCTCACGTGACAGACTACACATGTGCGACTACACATGTGCCAGCAGCTCTGCTCCGCCTGACCTGCTGGGATAAAGCTGCTTCCCCACGGCAGCGTTAGCCCCTGGCAGCAATCGACAAGCTGGGCTTGGTCATGTCCTCTGTTTACCCATGGACAAAGCTTCAGCCCTGCCCTCTCCTCTTGGCCACAGGGATGTAGTTTATCCTGGGGGTGGTGATCACAGGTTCGTTGGGGTCTCCATGCAGCAGCCATGGCTTGAGGAATGTATTAGCTGCACCAAGTCAAGATTTTGCAGACTTCCCCGGTGGTTGAAATTGCCACTGATGCTTCAGTATCGTGCTGCTGTGAAATGCCTCTGCCTGGGGCCATGCTTGAAGACTCAGGTGACCTAACGGCTGCCCCTGAAGTCATGAGAGGCTGAACATGTGTGCAGAGCCTATGTGACCTGTGCTGCGCTGTTTGTCCAAGGCTGATGCTGGAGTGAGATAGGTGTGGGTGGTAGACACCAAAATGTAAGGATCTAGATGTGAGTTGTGCATCCAGCCTCCTAGTGCAGCCAGTGGAGATCTTGTCATGTCTCCGTTCTCATGCAGAGGAGCCCAGCACCATTGGAGATACCCTTGGGCATCTGAGATGTCCACATGGTGCTGGTAGATGTGACACAGGACCTACAAGGCACCTGTGCCCCTCTAGATCAGTGGCCGGAGGTGAGAAGGAATAGAACAGGGAATCTCAGAAAGTGCATCAAAAATTGATGGAACATTTACACACAAAATATTGGTGGAACAAAGTATTTCTTTAAAAGGCTTGGGTTTCAAATTCAAGGACTTTTAAGGTTTCAGTTACAAAAAAGTGCTAAAATAATTTGCCACTTTAAACACATTTTTGCTTTTTTTTCTTATAAATATTTTTGTGTTGTTGGGAGGAACTCATGACACATGAAGAAATCACTGAATGTAGATATCTTTTTTTCCCCAAAAAATCTCCTCCTCCTAACTGAGCTCAGCTTCTGTACAGGATTTTCCGTGTGATTTGGCAGTGGCTGGAGGACTGCTGTCCCCTGCAGTCTGTGTGCTGGGGAGCACAAGGACCATTTGGGCCTGCAGGACAGTATGAGCTCTGCCACTGCTTTCACGTCCTTCTCTCTTCTCCTTGTCCACGGAGGCAGCTGGGCTTCAGCTATCTCCTTAGCAAGCTGGTCCTCATCCCTGGAGATGGGCTTTTTTAAAGGTGCCTGGCCACCTGAAGGCACCACTGGGAGCCCGGCAGGCACGGAATAGTCTATGTCCGTGATGCTCACCACCCTCCGAACTGGGGGGGGGCTGATCCAGCCCTGGGGACCATTCGAGAAGCTGCTGGCTGAAACCTCCCTGGGAAGTGCTGTGCCACCTATTCGTACAGACGGCTGAGGTTTGGTGCCCACCCCTGCTCCCTGGCACTGGCTCCTTCCCTGGCACAGGCAGTGGCGCTGGACGATTCCAGGCACACATCTGCAGCAATGGACAATGAGTATCATCTGCCCAACGTCACTCTTCATAGCACTAACCGCGCTTTGCTGGGTCCCTGCAGCCGCAGTGCCACGGCAGCATTGATCCAACCATCCCGCAGCTCTCGGAGCAACCTGAGCTCTGACACAGCCGGGCATCATGTCTTATTTTGTGCCGCAGTCCCAAATACCGCAGTGCCTGCCTGTTGAGTGCCGTGCTCCACAATTGCTCTGGTGGGATTTATTTTTTTTTGTGGTCAAAATCTTCCTGTGTTTCTGCAGGTGTGGGTGTGCTGCTGAGCCTGTGACACCCGCGGCTGCCTCTGCTCACAGGCTGATTTGCACTGAAATGATTCAGCCTGCAGAAAATAGTTCCTGCAGACTACTGTGTTCCTAACCCTATGGTGATATGGGGAGGGGTGGTCACCGACTGGCCTGGGAACTGCGGGCAGTGTCTCCAGGTTCACCCAAGGAGGGTTCCTGAGCCCCAAACTCTTCCCCCCATCACCTCGAGGAGCACAGCCCACAGATTGCCTTTCTCATTGCTATGGGGAAACTCTTCCAAATTCCTTTTATTGCATTAATCACCGGGAGTGTTGTGTATCACGCTCAGTAATCTATGCAAAACGTGGATTGCTATTTATACCTATGTGCTAAGATATTTGCAAAAGTAATTGCATCGAGTTTGTACGTCTGGCTGTGCGGCACTTTTGATAAGTCAGACGGCTTTCGCAGGACTCATCACCGCCTGCTTTTCCAAAGCTCGGCTGCGCCTTGCCACAGCCTGCAGCCACGTCACGTCGGTCCGGCCAGGGCCCCGAGGACGGGAGGCGCAGAGCAGCGCGGGTATAGTGGTGTTCCCGGTGGGAAGGGAGGCCGGGCAGACGCGGAGCCTGGCGCTGGGGACCTGCCGGCGTCTCTGCAGAGAGCAAAGCGCTCCTCGTGTGCGCGGTGGGGCGGGAGGAGTGGGGGGACGACATCCCAGGGCACAGTCTGCTCAGCCGCAGGGCGCTTACGGAGCTGCTGAGCGGAGCACGGCGCTTCCTCCGTCCCCCGGGAACCTGCAGAGAGGTATAAGTGTCCCCTCCGCCCCGGCTCCGGCACCGCAGCCCTGCCCGGAGCTCCTAAAGCCGGTGAGCTGTTTGCATTGTGGATTTGGGACCAGGAGGATGTCTAGGACGTTGAGAGCCTGGTGCAGAGACGCCAACTCCCCGTTAACAGTAATGGTGTGAAGAGTCCGTGAGATCGGCCACCCTCTGGCCGAGATTATGTGTTTTTGAGAGCGGGGGCTGCCGAGTTGAAGGTGTCAGGGCAGCACTGGCAGGCAGGATTAAGCCACCCACAGGGTGGTGCGCACGAAAGCAAAGCCAGCGTGGACCACCCCGGCCGGTCAGCTGCGGCATCCCCCGTCTCGCGCCGGCGGGAGAGCTGCCGACGTGCTCGGGCCGTGCAAGAGAAACACTTCTGTTATTTTCATTCTCTTGTTAGGAGGCAGTGAATCACCAACAAAGCCTTTCTCTCCCACCCCGTTTTTTTTCCCCCCTAACCTCTCTCCCAAAGGCGGTTACGTGGGGGGAGGCTCCATCCCCTCCGCAGCACCCACCGGGGAGACGCCTCCTCCACCGGAGCCCTTCTGCCGGCGACGCGCAGGGCAAAAAACCAGAGCTGCGGCTCGCAGCTAAAGCCTTCCGCAGTGATGCCGACAGACTTGTGCAGACCTTTTTGTAATCCTCAGGCGGCTCTGTAGGAATGTGATTTTTTTTTTTTCTAGGTTACAGCTTTTAGTTTAAATTAGGATTAAAAGATTTTAGGAAAGAAGAATCCAAGGGACTGCTCAGAGGCAGCTGTAGGAGGTGTATCTTTGGAGCTGAATTTGTATTAATGCAGATTTACAGTGGTGAT